GCGAGAACTCGCTGCTGCTGATGCAGCTCTGCTCGCCAGACCGGTTGGCGCTGGTCAGCGCGAGCGGCTCGCCTAGGGCCTGCACCAGCTTGCGCACAAAGGGGAAGTCTGGGACGCGCACGCCAATGAGTGACGTGTGCGGGTTGAGCTCCGGGTTGAGGGCGGGCTTGCGCGGCAGCACGACAGTCACGGGTCCCGGCAGCAAGGCGCGCAGCAAGCGCTCTGGCACACTCAGCTCTGCATATGCCCCGATGGCAGCGACGTCGTGCACGCAGATGGCGATGGGCTTGAGTTCGCTTCGCCCTTTGATGGAGTAGATGCGGCGCACACCCTGGGTGGACTGCGCCAGGCACGCCAGCCCGTAGATGGTATCCGTGGGCACGCCAATGACGCCACCGGCCCGCAGTGTCTCCACGGCGTCTGCGACCACGTCGTCCGGCACGTCCTCCTGGTTGCCCGCAATCTTCACCACGCGCCCGAGCTGCGCTTGCTGCGGCTTGCTGCTGCCATCGCCGTTGCTGTTGGTGGTGGTGTTTGTGTTGTCAGCCGTGGCGCTGGTGGTGCTCGTCACGTTCGTGCTGTCTGCCGTGCGCTCGGCATCGTGCTTGGCGTGCTTGGCGTGCTTGGCGTGCACACCCCGCTGCCCACTCATGCTCGCTGTTACCGTTGGTTGCCTCAACCACCTCCGCGTTATCGACCGCAGTTGCCGTCCACACACGCGCAGCATACACGCACAACACCACGCGTCTCTTCCTGCACACGTGTTTGACTGTGAGAATGAATGTAGCAGCAGCTCGTGCGCGGGTGCTGCAAGGTGTGGGCTGGCTGGCTGTTTGTATGTCTGTAACACAACCCGCTCCCCTCGGGCTGTGTGTCTGCTGTGTGTCGGCTGTTGTGCGGAGTGTGTGGTGGTCCTTGCTCTCTTCTTCTTGCTGCTGTTGCCGTTTGCACGCACAAACGTGCAGAAATCTGAGTCAGCAGTGAGCTGAATAATTCAATGAAGATTTGGCAAATCGCAGTGGCGGGAAGTGTGCTCAAGGCGCCATTTCTGCCGCCAAAACTCCAAGAAGGCACAAAGCAGTTGCCTCCCTCGCTCTTGTGCTTGTCGTCTCTTTGTTGGCTGCTCGTCTCTTGTCAAGCACACACACACACACACACACACACACACACACACACACACACCAATCACAGCGGCGGAGCAGGGTGAACAATACGACACTGCCAGAGCACAACAGGGCAAGCAGCATACAAGCCCGCCTGACCTGGCGTGTGTTGTGCGTTTGTTGCGTTGTTGCGTTGTTGCGTTGTGCGTTGTGCGTTGTGCTCCGCACGCGTACACATACGCGAAGACACAAGGACACCTAGCTTAGCTAGCGTTGATCGTGGGTGTGGTGTCACAGTTTCACCACCACAGTACACCACACCACACCACACGACAACCAAGCACAAAGCAAGGTGCTGGTGACAACACGCCATGTCGTCGCCCTCATCGGTGCCCTCCTCGCAGGGAACGCGAGTGTTCTCTGACCTCAGCATCGAGGAGATTATCCTCGACATGTCCGGGATGGAGCCCATTGAATGGCCCAATTCAAGTGACGCCTCGCCTGCGGTCACCCCAGTCTCGTCTTCCATGTTGTCATCGCCCCTCAACACGTCCTCGGCCAACGCCATTCGCATGCCACCCACAGACCTCACGCCGTGCTCAAGAACCACGGTATGTGAGTGTCTGCCGTCAACTGTTGCTCGCTGTCCTGGGTTTTGTCGCTGTCATGGGTTGTCGCTGTTGTAGCTGTTGTCCTTTGAATTTGGTGAGGGCTGCGTGGTTGACCTGAGTCACGAGCCGCGTGTGTGTACACCCGTTAGCTCATGCGTGCGCCCAAGCTCTGGCTGCCCACCTGCGTGTCACGTGCCACGCTGACATGCTCACCTTAATTGAATTGTTGGTTGCACGATCTTCTCGTGGCGTTTTGTCGTCGCCGGACGCCATGCCTCACATAGGTCAAGCGTCGACCAGGGACAAGCGGCAGCGACGCTGGTGTGCTGGAGAACAAGCGTGCCAAGACCACAGACACCGCCACCGCTCGCTCTAGCGTGAACCGCGCACTGCAGCTCGAGCCACACGCGCGCCAACTCCCCGCAGAAGGTCTGTGGCTGTGTTTTCGTTAGTTTGTTTGTTTGTGTGTTGTTTGTGTTGTGTTGTGTTGCGTGCGTTTCCATCTGCCCGCCTGTCTGTCTGTCTCTGCCTCTCCATGTGTCTGTGGAAGTCCATCCCTGTTCAACTGCACGCGTCTCGGCACCAACACCCAAAACTCACGAACCCACCTTTGCACTGTGCAACTCGCCACCGTGTTGGTTGTGCTGCTGCTGCTGCTGCTGCTGCTGCTGCTGCTGCTGTCAGTAGATGAAGTTGCTCCTTTCCACACGCTGCCACACGAGACGATGCTGGCGATATTCCAACTACTCAACACGTGGGACAAACTCATCTGCAGCCGCGTCTGTCGCCGTTGGTACCACCTCCTGTGAGTCACCGGGCTGTAAAATATCTGCATCTGTGTGTGTGTGTGTGTGTGTGTGTGCGTGTGTCTGTGTGTATGTGTCTGTCTGTCTGTTTGTTTGTGTGTCTGTGTCTGCGTGTGCATGTGTCTGCCTGCCTGTGTTCCCTGCTGTTTCCTACTGCTCACACACACTCACACACTCACACGCTCACTCATACACACTCACACACTTAAACGCTCTTGCTCACTCGCACACTCAAACGCTCTTGCTCACTCGCACCCTTGCTCCTCTGAACGCAGGCTGTCACCGAGGTGCTGGGACACGATTTACCTCGAGGACACGTCGCTTGGGTTTGATGCGCGGGCGATGCTTCTGCAACGCCGCCCGCGCCGCCTCTTCCTCGTCCACACCGTCATCCCTCGCCTCCAGGCCACGTTTCTCCAATCGTGCGTTTGAGTAATTGTTGGCTCTCTGTTGGCAGCTGAAGGACGGATCACAGGACGGTCGTGTGTGGTGGGGCGGAGTTTGTGTGTGTGTGTGTGTGTGTGTGTGTGTGTGTGTGTGTGTGTGTGTGTGTGTGTGTGTGTGTGTGTGTGTGTGTGCCGCATGTTGTTCATAGTTTATGTTATGTAGCTTGTGACGCGTCTCTCCTTCCCCTCGACTCAAATCTCCTCAACTGTGTTATCTGACACCTCTGCGTGTACATGCGTGCACATGCGTGTACATGCGTATGTATTCAGGTTTCAACTTGAAACACTCGATCTGACTGCATCAACCATCAACCCTGCCGACCTCGCCCAGATCTTTGCCGTAAGCAACGACCCACCGCATCTCCTCATGTGCCTGTCTGTCTGTGTGTGTCTGTGTGTGTCTGTGTGTGTGTCAACAGAAAGCATCAGAACTGTGCGCTTGTTGCTCTTCGTAGTGTGGGGGCTTTGGTGCAGCTCCTGCTGGTGGTGCAAATGTCTGTCTGCACTCGCTCGCCGGCTGCTAACGCTCGTGTCTGCGCTGCTCCTCGTGGGCTGTGCTGTGCAGATGTCGCCACGACTGCAACGGGTTGACATGAGTGGAACGCCAATCGATGACACTGCACTTGAGTAAGGACACATGCATTGAGAAAGAGAAAAGGCGGACACATTGGCGGAAAGAAACTGAGAGTTACAAAGCCGGAGACTGGCACACACACACACATGGTGTCCGCGCATGCCACCACTGTCTCAGATTGCGCGTGTTACACCCCATCATCAATCAGCACTCACATGTCATGCGTCATGCATTACGCGTCCACTGTTGTTACGCGCAGGGCATTGGCGCGACACTGCCCACGGCTCACGTCCCTTGGCTTGCGATCCTGTCACAACATCACTGGCGTGAGCATATCTGAGAAGCTGCTTGTCTGCTGCACGCGCTGTGCATTGCATTCTTGGTTGTCGTGAGCGACCTTTTGTGTCACCCTGACATGCACACACAGTCGCTGCAGAGCGCTGTGGCATAACGCACATTCCCTCTCATCAACATAGTCACGCACTCATGCCAACGATCACACTCACACTGACACCGAACCCCCCCCCCCACACACACACACTCACACTCACACTCACACTCACACTCACACACACACGAACGAACGCTCAATCGCTCGAATTCACACACACACACACACACCTACACTCGCATACACTCGCACTCGCACCATCACACGACAACAGCGCGGGCTGCGCGCCATCGCCGCTCGCTGCGGTCCCGCACTGGAGATTGTGAGTCTCGGGTGGACGCCTGTGAGCAAGGAGGATTTTCTCGCGCTGTGCGTTCGCTTCTCCGCGCTGCGTGAGCTGGACATGAGCGGGTGCTCCGAAAGCTTCGACGACGAGGGTGTGGCGGCGGTGTGCCGGTACTGCCCGTCGTTGGAGGTGCTGGATGCAAGCGACTGCTACGGGGTGACGGACATCAGCGTGCACACCATCATCGGCCACCTCCGCCGCCTGCGTCGCATCGCCCTCTCCCGGTGCCACCACATAACCGTCGCAGCCACCCAGGCGCTGGCCGGCCAGGTCAATCTTAACTATCTCGACCTCTTTAGCTGCTACCAGACCGTCTACCCACACATCACCGTACGTCAAACTGCCCGTGACACGCAGCAGCCGTTTTGTCTGTGTGTATCTTTGCTGCATGTGTCTGTGTGTCTGTTTGTATGTGTCTCTCTGTGTCTCTTTGTCTGCATGTGTCTGTGTGTCTGTTTGTATGTGTCTCTCTGTGCATGTGTGTGTGTCTGCATGTGTGTGTGTCTGCATGTGTGTGTGTGTGTGCCTGTATGAGTCCACGTTCGCCTCTTTCCCTGTCCCGGTCCGTCTGCCACCGTGTCCGTGTCAGGTGTGCAACCCCCCCCCCTACCTCACTGTTGCCACCTCACACTTTCCCAACTGCCCCTGATTGACACAACGCGTTGAATACACTGTGCAGTCTGCGTCTCGGGGCGTGATTGTCAACGACAGCATCCTGTCTCCTGTACACTGCGTGGACCGCCCACCAAGGATCCACGCCCGCCCCACACGCGCCCGCCGCTTCTCGTCCCTCCCGCATCCAATGAGCAACGCTTGAGTGTGATGGCGAGCCCCCAGCGAGCGTGTGCACACGTCTGTTGCGCAGCGTGACTCGTGTCGCACATTTACGGCAGCAGTGCCTTCCTCTGCTTGCCTTGTGTGTTTTTGTTCGTGTTTCCCGTGGGATGATGATTGTAACTGTAAATGCACCCTGTCCTCTGCCAACACCACCCACAGCCCGTCGCATCAACAACCAAAGCTTGATGATGACGACAATCATAAACGGTCCGCTTTCCCAATGGCACTGCATTGCCCACCGTTCACACACACACACACACACACATACACACACACACACACACACACACACACACGTGTCAGTTCCTGCTCATGCCCACACCCATTTTGACACTCTCTTTCTCTTCACCACAGTCGTGCCACATCCTTCTCCGCCTCTCTTCCCAACTCGCAGCAAATCTGTTCTGTTGACATTGATGGTCTTATTGCAAGCGATCATGTCATCGGGTCGTTTACTCGGCGACAGACGAGTCAACATACAACGACTTGTCAATCTCCTCAGGCACCGCATCAATGTGAATGTTCAACTCCTGCAAACAAACAACAAACAGCAAAAAAAAAAAAAACAAGAGCCAAAAGCAACCGCAGCACAAAGCAGGCATGCGTGAGTGAGAAGGTAACGTAATGAGAGATCCAGACACAATGACCACCACACACAACACACAACACCCACAACCACACCAAGCCGGAAGGCGCACATGTGTCAACGTACCCGCTCGATACGCGAAAATGCCTCTGTGTTCGCCTGTGTGACGAGGTTGATGGCGAGGCCCAGCCTGCCACCACGACCCGACCGGCCAATGCGGTGCAGGTACGTCTCAGAGGAGTTGGGGAAGTCAAAGTTGATGACAACGTTCACCGTCGGCACGTCAATACCGCGCGTGAACAAATCTGAGCAGAACAGAATGCACACAGCCAATCAAGAAGGAAAAAAAAAAAAACAGCCATTGCATGTTTCGTGAGTGAGTGTGGAGAGAGTGAGTGAGCGAGGGGAGAGAGGGTGAGGAGGAGAGAAATGAAATTGGGGCGACAACACAAAACACAGCTTGTGGCGACAACACAAAACACAGCTTGTGGCGACAACACAAAACACAGCTTGTGGCGACAACACAAAACACAGCTTGTGGCGACAACACAAAACACAGCTTGTGGCGACAACACAAAACACAGCTTGTGGCGACAACACGGCAAGTGCGAGATTTCGTGTATACCTGTGCAGACGAGGTGGCGGCACTTGCGCTCGCGGAACTGCTGGAACACCTTGTTGCGGGAATCCTGGTCCATGCTGGAGTGAATGTAAAAGCACGGGGAGCCCATGTCGGTGATGCGCTTGGCAAGCACCTCCACGCGCTTCACGCTGTTACAAAAGATAATCGATTGGTTGATCTGCACGCGCAATGAAACACGAAGCAAAACAAAAAAAAATCGTGGTGAGCAATCCACGCTGGTGGTATTGAGACACGCTCCAGCACCCAACACCCAACACCCAACACACACCACGCAACCAACACACACGCACGCACACACACACACACACGCAACCAACACACACACGCACGCACACACACACACACACAAGCACGCACACAAACAAACACACACATAAACACACACACGCATGTTGCACACCTGCAATTTGCTGAAAAGGGTCTTGAGGCAGCGAAGCTTATCCTTTTCCTCCAAAAAGGCATAGTACTGAGTCACACCCTTTGTTCACAAGGGACACAGCACCCACGAGCCGTAGTGAGCGTGTGCACCAAACAAAAACACCATTCTTCCTCCCCAGCAGAGTGAAAAGAAATGACTGCAACAACTGCAGGAGCCGTGTTTGATACCTTGAGGGTGAGTGTGTCCATGAGGTTGATCTTCTTTGGCTGTCGCATGTAACGGCGCTGCAGTCACAAAATAAAAAGTGAGGTCAACCACGATGACACAAAGGGGGTGAGGAACGACACAGGACACTTGAATTTGAACACGTGGCAGAACGCATGTGTGCGCGTGCTTGCGCATGCGGGGCCAGCTCAGGCGGCAATTGACTCACAGTAAAGTCCTTCACAGACTGCGGGAAGGTCGCAGAGAAGAGCATGAGCTGCTTGTCCTGCCGGGGCAGGTAGCTAATGATGCGTGTGATGTTTCCTTGGAGTCGGCAAATGCAGGTGCAGATGACGTGATGATGGCATGTGAGTCAGCAAGTGAGTCGGTGGTTGTGCAAGACGAAGAAAGGCAGACGGCAAACACACGCACATGCGCATCGAGAAATGCAAGCAAGGCTGGCATGCAAGGTTGCGCACTGACTTTGGAAGGTTCTGTCGAGAAGCTTGTCGGCCTCATCAAGGACGACCATTTCAATCTCGGCGGAGCGGATGACGCCGCGGTCAAGGAGGTCGAGCACGCGACCAGGCGTTCCGACAACCAGATGCACTGCACACATGAACATTAAGAGATCGTAGTGTGTGTGTGTGTGTGTGTGGTGGTGGTGGTGTGTGTGTGTGGTGGTGTGTGTGTGTGTGGTGTGGGTGGGTGGGTGGGTGTGGGTGTGTGTGTGTGTGTGGGTGTGGGTGTGGGTGTGGGTGTGTAGGAGAGAGAAAGTAAAACATAGCGAGGGGAGAGAGAGGGGTGTGTGTGGTGGGGGGGGGGGGTGAGTAACGTGACTCGCACAATCAACATGTGCGTAGCAAGGCACCCATGAACGCGAGGAGAAGTGCAGCCGGGTTCCCTTCGATTGAACAAGCAAGCGACACACACCTGTGCTCTTGAAGCGGAGAATGTCATCGCGCACGCTGGTGCCGCCGGTTGTGCACACAACCTGAATGTTGAGGAACTTTCCGAGGTCCTTGGCTGTCTTGGACGTCTGCAAGCTCAGCTCTCGCGTGGGCACAAGCACAAGCGCTGCGCACAAGGGGCGGGGGAGGAAGGAGGGGTGCAAAGTACAGGAGGGCACGACGATTTGGAGTGAGCGACACGAAAAGAGGGTGATTGTTGAAGATGGCTGAAACCGACACATGCAAACACAATGAGGGCAGAGCAAAAGGGGTGGGCAGGGATATGAATGTGGATGTCGTGTGAACGTTGACTTGAGAGGAGGCACAGACAGCATTGCTCAGGAACTTGAAAAGCCTTTCGGCCAGAGTACATCAACCATGTAGGTGTCAGTTCTAACATGTGCAAGATGAAAAGTGATTAAGCATCACCGCACACAGGATTTTGACTAAAAGCAACCATTGAGGGGTTGAACACAAAAGAGGAGAGTTGAAGAGAAACAGGGGTGGGCTGCCGGTGCTTGCAAAGGAGAGTGTGCATGTGCTCAGTATGAAGGTTGTCGTCACACAGAGTGAGCGTCAGTAGTCTAACATGTATTAAAAAAATAGAACATCACTGCACTGATGCACAGCAAGCAATGGGCGAATGGATGGCCGGCCTTGTAAAGGGTAAAGGAGCGAGGAAAGGGGAAAGGGGGTGTAGAAAGGGGAACCCAAAACAGGGTGGAACGGAGGGAGGGTGAACCAGACTGGGAAAAGGAGAGAAGGACGGGGGGGTTGCTGTGCCTAACGCTACCGAAGGCAAACGCGCAACAGGGAGCACCTGTGCAGATTTGTTGTGAGTATGTCTACCTTGAACGGCGGGGTTGTCGACATCAATGCGGTTCAGCATGGGAACAAGGTATGCGCCCGTCTTTCCAGTGCCTGAGTGTTTGGTGATTTGTTGTGTGTGTGTGTGAGTGCATTTTGTTTGGTGTGTGTATGTGTGTGTTTCGTGTATTTTGTGTGTGTGTGTGTTTCGTGTGTATCGCGTATGTTTTGTGTGTGTGTGTGTGAGCCGATGTGAGTTGGCGAGTGGCTTGAACGGACAGCGAGCGACATTCTGCAAAAAAAAGTATGCCTGCACCATACATGTCGACACAGCGCGATACGAGACCCAGCACACACACACACACATCGACAACACGCACGCGCACACACACACACATCGACAACACGCACGCACACGCACACACATCGACAACACGCACGCGCACATACACACCCGAACGACAACGACGTGCACACGCACGTACAGACCGTTTTTGGCGCGGGCGAGGATGTCGTGGCCGAGGAGCACCTCGGAGATGGACTCTTCCTGGATAGGGGTGGGTCGTTCAAAGCCGAGCTGATAGATGCCCTTTTGCAAGTCACGCTTCAGGCCATAGTCCTCAAACGTTGTGCCTTTGGTTGCCAACACATCCTGCCATCAAGCGCACAGCAAGGGTGTGTGAGGCTCTTAAGGCGCGATACAACTGTCGACGACAAAAGGAAAGGGGCGACGTGTGGTATGCAGGCCGGCTGGCTGTTTATGCAGGCTTGCCGTTTGTGTGGCCGTGCGCACGCACGTACACACACACACATATGTATCCACAAACATACACGCACATACACACATATATCCACAAACATGCACACACACATACACACATACACGCACACACACATACACACACACAATCAAGAGTCGCCTACGTCTGTTCGAAACTGTGTCGACATGGCGGGGGCCTGTCGTTGAAGGAACAAGCCAAAAAGCGAGCACAGGTGTGAGTGCAGCCACCACATGAAGGTGGAGAACGGACAGTGGACAGGATAAGGCAAGTGGACAGGATGAGGCAAACAAGCATGCAGGCAGGCAGGGAGGAAACACACAAAAACACAAAGCTGGCCACAAAAGAGTAACGTGCTCACGCTTCATCCATACAATCACTGAACAGGTGAGGTGCACGAAACCATGGCGCGTGCACGAACTCACTTGGTGGTCTCCCATGACGGTGTATCTCTGTGTGTGATGTGTGTGGGGGTGATGTGGGTGACGGTGGAAAGCTGTCACGCGGCTTCGAGCAAGAGAGGTTTGACGAATGGATCAACAGCAAGTGCTTCTCTACTGGGGCTGCAGTGGACGTTGCTGTGTTTGCTTGGCTTTGCTTCTTGGCTGCGTTGGCTTGGCGGCGTTGGCTGCGTTGGCTGGCTGGTCTTTGATGATGGTGTGGCACTGACTGACTCTCCTCTGCCTTGTTCTTCTTTTCGTCTTCTTTCTTTCTCTTTGCTGTGGTTGCTGACCGGTGTCAGTTTTGTTTGTGTGTGTGGACAAATGCCAGTGTTGTTTGTGCGGGGAGGGAAAGAAATCGCTGACGCACCAAAAACCGGCCTCCACCGATTCAAGCTGTCTCAATTGGCAAAGTTCGTGCAATTGGCAAGCTTCTGCTGACGTCAGCATCAACTGATTCAGTGGATGAGTCATCAACGGGTGACGTGACTGTGCGACTGTGTTTTTTGCTGAGTCGCAAGCCGCTGCCGCTGCCGCTGCTGCTTGTTTGGCGCAGCGTCACGACCAACAACACATCCACCAACCAACCCGCACACCGCGAGGGCTTTGTCACAGACACAACTTTTTTGTCTGCTTGCTTTTGCTTGCTTGTTTTGTTGTTGTGAGTGAGTTGCCTGTTTTGTTTGTCTTGTGGCTGAGTGTGCCATTTTCCACTCGTACGCCAGCCAGACAACAGAGACCCGTTGCACTGAGGAACGAAGAGCAAAACGCCGACAAGCAAGCAAAGAAGCAAGCCACCCCCTCTCTCCCAGATACGCACGCACGCACACACGCACCGGCTCGCATCGGAACGACAGCCGCAACCCGCTTCAACCAACTGCAACCAGCCCGCAACCTTGTCTTTCCCCCCCCCCTCCTTTCCGCCGGACAGCCCACTCGTCTTATCTCTCCTCTCCGCAGGACAACTCAACTTTCTCTCCTCTCGCCTCCGCAGGACACACATACACACACGCACACCAACTTTGATCTCACCCTCATCACCCCCACGGACCCCAACAAAAGCAACGCCAAGATGAGTCTGAACTCGCTCGACAACCTCACCTTCACGCCGCTCAACAAGGACGCGCAAAAGGTGGTTATTGCCGCGGACGGACGCGCATACAACCGGACAACCTTGGAGGAGTACTTTGCCATGTTTCCAGACAAGGCCCGCATCACGTCGCCGCTCACGGGAGAACGCATGACAGACACGATCCGCGACCTCACCTTGGCGGAGTCCCTGGAGCTGCAACACCAAAACGTCTCGTTCTACCACGACGATGAAGAAGAGGGCATCTTTGACGCCGACGCCAGCGTCATTGCAAGCTTCAACGAGGTCATGCCGGAGGCCATCCGCACCCTGCTGGCTCAGGACTTTGGCGGCCTGCTTTCCACGGACACGGTGCCGCACATTGTCTCGATTGGCCCAGAGAACATTGGCAAGAGCCTTGCCCTGCAGCGCCTGATTGGGCGCCCGCTGTTCCCCGTCGCCAACGAGCTCATGACCCGCATGCCAACCATGGTCAAGCTGCGCCACGGGCCCACCCGAATGCCCACCGTCTGGGTGCAGTACGCGCAGGACGACGAGGCCGCGGGCGCAGTGCAGGGCGACAAGAAGGCCGTGCGTTGCCGCGCCTTCACGGGCGAGCACGCGGGCGAGACGGCTGAGCTGCTGGAGGACGCCGTGCCCGTGCCCTGGCTCGCCGAGGCCATCAAGGAACGCATGGCCACGCTCATGGCCGAGGAGAAGGACGAGCAGGGCCGCCTGCTGCGCGTCAGCCTCAAGTACGAGATTGTCGTCGAGCTGCACTCGCCGTACTACTTCAACGCTGACATCCTCGACCTCCCCGGCATCATCCAGGCCGAGGGCCACAACTACGCCCCGCGGCCCGAGGACACGCAGGACCTGGCCAAGCGCTACGTGCGCCGCTACCGCGACAACGCCCTCTTCCTCCTCACCAGCAAGGTCACCACGCCCGCCAACCAGAACCCGGCCATGCAGCTGCTGCACGAGGAGCACCTCGACCACGTGGCCATTGGCGTCATCACTCACGCCGACCAGTACCCGACGGACCTCCTGCAGTACGGTGACCCAAACCACTTTATCAACGCAGAGTACGGCTGGACGCCGCTCGCCGCAGGCCTGGGCCAGGACGTGCGCGCCATCACAGCCAGCGTGCTGCACGCCCTGTCCACCAGCGAGCAGCAGGAGATGGCCAGGCTGCAGCCGCCGACGCAGAACAGGGACCGCTTCCACATGGGCGGCATCAAGGCGCTGCGCCGCTGCGTGTGTGACGGCCTCGAGCACTTTTTCGGCCACGTGATCATCGGCCAGCTTGTGCAGATGCTGAGCATGCACTACCGCAAGAACAGCGAGGCAATCGCCGCCCTTGGTGTCCCCTTTGAGGACCCAACAACAAAAGCAGCAACACCAACAACCTCTGGGCAAGGGGAAGCGTCGAATGGCGAAGCTAGCTCCGACGACGAGTATGATGATGATGCCACGCTGACTACGTATGCGCAATATGCACAGCCATGCTCCGTGGTGCAGGCTGCCGTGCGTGAACGCACCATCCGCGCCCTGACAGAGCGCAAGGCGGAGCTCTACGCGGCCATGCGCGACAGGGTTGAGCAGCTCATCCAGCCCTTCCACGACCTCCACGACCACCTGCTGCAGCAGTGCAAGACATTTGCGCCCAGCAGCCCGCTGCCGAGCGCTGAGATGCGGCGCTTTGCCGGCAACCTCATGGCCGACGTGCGCCATCAGGTCGCCGACCTTGAGCGGGAGCTGCGCAACAACAACTGCTTCTCCGCGCTCGTGCGCGACTTTGTGCGCACCACCCTGACCGCCGACGCCAGCGCCGTGCGCCTCGAGCGCTTTGGTGCGCACATTCGTGCTGTCGCAGACTCTGCGGCGGCCGTGGTGGCCGAGCGCGTGGACCAGGGCGCCGCAGAGTGTGTGAGCGCCTTCATGCAGGAGCAGCTGCGCAAGACGTCCCAGCTGTTCTCCTTCTGCAACAAGCGCCTCGTGTACCGCCTGGTACCCGCCGCCAGCGCAGCGGACCCAGCAGCCGCGCCCACGCTCGGCGACTTGGTCGAGTTTGACATGGCCGGCGCGCTCACGTTTGACTTTGAGCGCGACATTGTGCAGAGCGCCGTGCCGGAGACAACCGGCATTGACACCACCGAGGACGCGCGTGTCACGCCAACGCCAAGCGCGCTCACCCGCACGCCCTCGGGCAACGACGCTGCTGCCACAACGGGTGGGGAGGACGCGCGTGTGCCCATCACGGAGCAGCGGCGGGAGCTTCTCTCTGCCCGCGCGCGCATGGACCGTGCCCTGGCGGAGGTGTGCGTGCTGCGCCAGCAGGTGTACGAGAAGGACGTGGAGAACGACAAAGCACGCGCACGGCGCTTCGACGAGCTGGAGAAGCTGCCCACCGCAACCGACAGCGTGCGCCGCGTTGCCGATCGCTTGAACGACCCGGAATGCAACATCTCCCGCATCACGTGAGTTGTCGTCACTCTTTATGCGTCTGTGAGGGTGTTTGGTGATGTTTGATTTGCTCGTTTTGTTTGATCGTCTATGCGTTTGTTCGTTCGTTTGTTTTTGTGTTCGTTTGTACATTTTGTTTGTGTTGATGTTGGTGAACGTGTGCGTACGCATATCGAGTAGCTTCAAGACTATCCTAACGCACCCATACACACATGCGTGTGCGTTTGTTTCTTTTACATCTTTGTTGCAGGATTTCGGTCGATCCCAGTGATGGCTCTGAGCTTCTGCTTGGCTTTGCAGCACATGCCACCTCCGTCGGCGAGCTCACGTAAGCGACAACGTTTTGTTTGTTTGTTTGTTTGCTTGTGTGTGTCTGTGTGTGTCTGTGTGTGTGTCTGTGTGTGTGTGTGTGTGTGTGTGTGTGCGTCAGTATATAAGTGTGTAGCCGGCTGTCTGTGAAGTTTCACTCTCATACCCACGCCCATGCCTGCGTGTTCACTCACATCTCTCACATCGCTCCACATTCCACCACAATGTGCAGGATCACGGGCCTGCTGCAAGACAGCACACTGCGCCGCATTGTCCAGTGCATCAACACCGCCCACGAACTGCGCCACATCAGGTCTCCCCAACCAGTGATTGGACGCGCTCTGCCTGGTGTTGTGTATGTGTGTATGTGTGTGTGTGTACTTTTTTTTGTTTGCATGATCAACTCACAGCACGATGGAGCTCACTGTGTGATTCGTTGACCCTCTCCCCCACTTGCACCTTTCCAACCTCCTTCAGCTTCTGTGAGATGGCGTTTGGAGAGCGGCAGTTCAAGACCCTCCTGGAAACTCTTGCCGCCCACATCAACCTCGACACCATCACGTGAGTTTACTGCGTTGTTCGCAAGTGTCGATGTTTGCATGTTCACATGAGTGCGTTCATGTGTGTATTAGCGTGTTGTGCGTCCACGGCACGTTCACCTGTCTCACCAATGCTGCTGCCGGGCCATGCTATCATCATCATCATCATCACTCCGTTTCAGGTTTGAGGCGTGCGGCCTCACCGATGACAACATCCCTGCTCTTGTGGATCTCATCGAATCCGACTGGCGCTGCACCGTCATCAGGTAAAAGCAGACAAGCAAAGCACCACACGCACATGCACACGCACACGCACACACACACACACACACACACACACACACACACACACACACACACACACATACATTTCGTGGGCTACGTTGTGTTTGCTTTGCTGCAGCCACCCATCCCCATCCCTCCCCCCTTTTGCATGTGACAAGTGTATGATGTGACTCACCTCTCATTATCGCCGTCTCTCCCCCTTCCCCTCCACCCCTCCCATGTTTCATCTGCAGCCTCCCTGGAAACAACTTCAGCGACGACGGCTGGCAGGTGCTGCAGCAGGCGGCACACGAACACAGGCAAAGCGAGGCGCTTGCGCGCTGGCTGGCCTACAACACCCTCCATCCCACGTCAGAGAACGACGTCGTCAGCGTGTTTGTGACGGAGGAACCGGCAATCAAGCCCTTCCTCTCACAGGACAGAACGGAGCGCGGCCCGACAATCGAGGATTTGTCGACGGAGGGCGAGGATTTGGCGGCGGAGGGCGACGATGGGATTCCTGAGTTCAATGGCGTCAAGTTGGAGCGCAAGGAGGACCTGCTGCGCCTCGCACAGGGGCCTGACGACTTCTACGAATTCACACAGCACATGCCGCTGCCCACGACGATCCACGTTGCAAACCTGCTGGGCGCAGACGTCGCTGAGAATGCAGGGCGGGACGATGTCACTGCCGCCATTCTCAACCACTTGCCATCCCTCTACGCTTGAACTGCCTTGACCAGCACACGTTAAAGCTGTCATTGTGGTGTGTGTGTGTGTGTGTGTGTGTGTGTGTGTGTGTGTGTGTGTGTGTGTGTGTGCACTGAATTGGACTTGCTCGGATCATGTCGACCACTTATGTTTGAGTTGTTTTCTGTTTGCGTTCCGCCTATTAATCGATGTGTACTGTTTCCTGCCGTCATCTCACCAGTAAAGTCATCCTCTGCAAAACATCGTCCGTTCAGCACTGCAAACCATTCCCATTCAAGGAGTGGGGTGTCATTGTGGAGTTGCTGAAAACATCATCTCCCTCGTTCTATCGTGTTGCACCCCAAGCATCGTCGCGAATTGTCAGTTTTACTGTCTGCAACCAATTGATGAACACGGGCTTGTTCAAGCACCAACACAAAGCCTTCTCTGCCTCTCTCTCTCTCTGTTTTCCCCTTCTGCGCACACACACACAGAGACACACAAAACGGCACAAGTTCAAAGCACTCTCCAAAAGCACAAAAGCAAACACACACAACACACACACAACACAACACACAACACACACAACATACACACACAACACACACAACACACACAACACACACAATCACACAATTACTGGGCAATGAAGAGGGCCACACCAGCCTGCACCCATTTGCGTTTCTGGCTCGTGCACGGCAGCGTGAGCCGCGTCACAAGCATCTGGCGTTCGTTGTCCGCGTAGAGGGGAACAGTCAGCGTGCGGCTGGCAACGTCCTGCTCATCCAACAGATCCGCAGGCACCCAGCCAACACACACGTGCGGCAGCGGCGCAAACGTGGGCGAGTCGCGCTCAGCCACATGCAGGCGCGTGCCGTCAAACATGCAACCCTGAATCAGCAAGCCCTGCACACGGCACGACACGTGCGTGTTCGCAATCTTGTCCGCGTTCCACTCGCACACGAGCCGCAGCGAGTCCATGGAACACGCAAACGCCGCAGCCGTCTGCTGCCGCAGTGCATTGAACAGCGTGCCTGGTCGGAAGAAGTTGCCGATGTCGAGCGTCTCGTGCAGCAGCGCACCCGTCTTCGCCTTCTCCTCGTACCCGCGCAGCGCCAGCGTCTTGCGAACAACCTGCCGCACCCACACAGCAGCAACCTCGGGCCCGTCCCACAGCTTCAGCCACACCGCCGGCGTCTCTCCGCGCAGCAGCGCGCGCGCAATCTGATTCACCCGCTGCGTCAGAAGTGACTGCGCCTGCAGCACCGCCCGCAGCTCCTGCAGGTCGCCCTGCACCATGGCAATCACGCGACGGCCCTGCGCCCGTTCCAGCCGCACAAACGCAGTCAGCGCATCCTCATCACCGGCACCTCCAACAGCACTGCCGCCACCACGGCCCTTGCCCTTGCCCTTGCCTGGACCACCAGCACCAGCAACACCATCGCCATCGCCGCCCTTGAGCAGGTCCCGCCCGTCCACCAGGCGCTCCCACGCCGCCAGGAACGGCTGCAGCGCATCCCGCCACCGCTCCCGGTCAAAGTCCTCAGACAACTTGCCCGCACGCTCAAGCTGCTGCAGCTGTGTCAGCAGCTCCGTCGCCGCTTGCTGCTGTACCGTCTTGTCCACGTTGGCGGGGAGGCCAAAGAGCTCTGGCTGGTCCGTGTCGGGCAGGTTGCGGATCGCCTGCACATAGTCTGGCAGATGCACGCTCGTCGGGATGTTGATGCCTCCCAGGCGCCCGCGCTTGCCGCCGCCACCGCCGCCGTGGAGGCCGCTGCCACTGGTGGACAGCGTGTGCTGCTGCCCACTCAGCACCTCATCCGCAAAGTAGTCGTGCAGGTACGTCTCAAGCACCTGCGCGTCAAACACGTTGTCGACGCGCCCACCATACAGGGCGTTGAGGAAGAGCCCGTGCAGCGTCACCCAGTCCCGGTCGCCGCCAGCAGCGGGGCTTGTCGACAGCGTGGCGCGGGGCCCACCTTGGTTGGCGGGCGAAACAGACGACGACGATGACAACGTCCCGGATGACCACCGCTTCAGCACCTCAATCGACGCGCGCAGGTCGGAGGACGAGAACTCGTAAAACTTGCACCAGCCGTGCGGAATGTAGTTGCGGCGCTCCTGCACAATGGCGTGGAACCAGGCCAGCAGAAACAGCGCCTGCGCAAACAGCGACGAGCCGCCCTTGAGCGTGGCAGGCTCAATCGTGCTGTACGTGCGCAGCAGATTGCGTTTGACACCAGGCGGCGACTCAAACGTCACCTTCAGGCTCTTCTGCAACAGAATCGGGCTGAAGCGGTCGTGCGGCTCCGTTGTCAGCCACAGCCGGAAGCTCGGGTCGGGGTTGAGCGTCGACAGCTCTTGCTCAAGCTCCGGCAGCCAGTGCGTCACCAAGTGCAGGTTCTTCAGGCACAACCACTCGCCACGCGCTGCACACTGCCGCAGCTTTGTCACCGCCACCTCCGCCTGGCCCTGGCCCATGGCCACCTCGTGCAGGCGGTCGGCACTGCCAAGGACGTGCGTCGCCGCCTCCCGCAGCTCCTGCGACGGATCAGCACCAGCGGACACAACCATGAGCACGGGCTCTGTTGGCGTCGTCTCGGCCTCGTGCAGCGCATGCAGGTTTGTTGCTGGTGGTGTGAGGTCGTCCAGGCCGAGGAACCGGCACGCCAGCCCCGTCATCGCCGCCTGCAAGCGGTCTGGGCGTAGCGCCTTCACCAGCAGCAGCTGCTGCACCTTGCGCACCACATGCGAAGGAAAGTTTCGCTCGCACGCGGGCTGCTCCATCCAGTTGCGCCACACCGCCGCGTCCTCCTCCAGCCGCGCCGACCGCCCCAGCGACGGCACGGCCTCCAGCACGCTGCGCACAGCAGCAACCCGGTCTGGCGGCGTCCACGACGGAATGCCACCGCCACCGCCACCACTCGTGCGGTCCATTGTGGAGGCGCGACGGGACGGGCTGGCGTTGGCTGCGTTTCCGCCGCCAGCACCGCCACCGGCAGTGCCAATCGGCGCCGTGAGCGCGTGCCAGGCGTCCTCGTCAAACTCCTCCGGGAAGATACCGCGGGTAAGGTGCATGGCAAACGTCAGGCGATCGCGCTTGAACAGGGAGCGCGACACGTACCCGTACACCAGCTGCTGCAGCTTGCTGCACAGCATCTTGATGCGCATGTCCGGGGAGCCTGCAGCCTCGCCCGTCTTCTCCGCAAGCGTGCGCTCAAACAGGCCCACAAAGGAGGCCAGGCTGAACTGGTACATATGGTTGATGTTGCTCAGGCCCTTCATGAGGAAGAACAGCGTGCTCGCGTGCTGGGCAAGCGGCAAAAACGCATCACGCTCCTTGTTCAGCGACTCCTGCAGCTGCTGGGACTCCTGCAGCGAGGTGGAGATGACCGTGCTGCTGGCCTTGGTCTCGTTGAGCGAGTCAAGCAGCGCCTTGTTCTCCAGGATGTTACCCTCAGCATCCGCAAGCTCCTTCAACAACTTGTCCTCCAGCTCGTTCAGCTTCAACTTGAGGCTCTCCTCGTTCTTCAGCAGCTCCGTCTTGCGCGCCTCAAGCTCGGGCTTCTCGTGCCGCAGCGTGCGCGCCAGCAGCTGCCCTGCAAGGCCCGCCTGCGTCACGGTGAAGTTGATCTCGCACAGGTGCGAGCGCACGTCTGGCGGCAGATCTGCGCTCGCCCGCTGCGTCGTCAGAATCAACCGAAAGTCCTCGTTGTAGTCAATCAGCTTGTCGCCCACATACACGCACGTGCGCGGGCCCTGAACAATGAGCTCCTGCCGGATGGTGGGGTACATGATGGGCTCCACCAGCGACACGCCCTGCACCAGCAGCGTCTTGCCAAAGCGCACGGCAAGCTCCAGTGCCGTGGCAAAGTTGGCGTCCTTTTGTGCAGTCACCTCCAGGCGCGCGTCCTTCAGGTGCTCCTGCAGCCAGGAGAGCGCAGTGGACGCAGGGTCCACAATGAACAGCGGCTTGGCCGTGTTGGCCACCACCGCCGCGTTCTCCAGCGACAGCTGGTCTGACGGCAGGCCCTCCGAGCGCCACACCAGCTGCTTGCTCTCCGTGGCCAGGAAAGCGAGCGCGCTGTACGTTGGCTTCTCGTGCACGAGGCCACACGCCTCCACCCACTTGTTGGTCAGGTCCAGCCGCACCTGCTCCGCCGCGCACGGCAGGTATGTCACAAACGCCGCAGAGAGCATGGCCTCCAGCGGCAGCAGCCGCGCCTCGTCCTCAATCGCGGAAACCTGGCGGCTCCACCGCTGCTTTTCGCCGTCCAGCTTGGAGATGAGCATCTCCGCGCTGTTGATGGTGGCCTGCGCCTGGTCCACCTCCACCTTGAGCTTTGCGCCCTCGGTCGTGTTGCGCTCGAATCGCTCCCTCAGCTCTGCCACGTGCGCGTCAATCTTCGACAGGTCGTCAGTGAGTGCTTTCAGCTTCGCCTCTGCCTTGGCCAGGCTCGCTTCAAGCTCCTTGTTCTCCTCCTCCAGCGGGCCAACCTTCTCCAGCACCGCCGCATACTTCAAGTTTGCCTGCACCCAGCTGCTGAGCGGCGCCGCAGCCCTGCTGGCGCGTTTGGCGTTTGCGGCCTCAAACGAGGCGTGCCGGTCCTCAATCAGCGCCTCCACCTGCTCGCGGATGCTGGGCGTGATCTTGCGCTGGTCAAAGTTGATAATCTCGTCCTTGACGCCGCGCTTGGCCAGGAACGACTTCATCGACTTCCAGCTCGTGTCGTAGATGCCCATTAGCATCAGCACGCCCTGCAGAATGTCGCGCACGGCGTCTGGCGGCGCGCGCAGGGAGCGGATCTCCGTCAGGGCCTCGGACTTGATGGACCCCACGGCCTTCTGCGCAGCGGCCAGGATGGGCTCGATACTGCTCAGCTCCACCTCAATGGCCTTCTTGCGCTGGCTCAGCTTGGCCTCCTCCTCGGCCAGCTGCCGCTTGAGCTGCTCCACCTGCGTCTTCTGCTCCGAGGCCTGCTCCATCGCTGCCTGGATGTCCTGCAGCGCCTGGTTCGCCTCCGCCTGCTTGGCTGCCAGCACCTCCTGCTGCTCAGACGCCTGCGCCTTGAGCTCGTCCACGCGTGCCCCGGCCTCGTGCAGCTTGTCCAGGCCGCGCCGGAACCGCTGCCCTTCCTTGCCGCTCTCCTGCGTCTTGTTCTGGAACAGGCGCGCAAACGTGACGATGAATTGCGTAAAGTCATGTGGGCTTGCATCAAGGCGCGCCACGGCATCCGCGTGGATAGTGGCCAGCGTCTCCGTCACATCCGGGTCCTCAAGCACGGCCTCGGGCACCTGGTCCTCCAGCAGCAGCTGCGGCAGGACACCCATGCTCGCCGGCGACCACCGCTCCGCCCACAGCATGCGGCACTCCTTGATAAACGCCGGGTTGGACTCGCACAGGAAGGCAAAGTCCTCCCGGCTGCAGTCGAGGGAGAGGGTGACGTGCAGGTGGTCCTTCACCCGCTGCGTGAAGAAGCGGAACATGCCGCTGCGCCACCCTTCCTCTGCCGCCGCGTCCTTGAGCGAGGCCAGCATGGGCTCCAGCTCCGCCGGCTGGAACAGGCCAGGGATGTCGCCCGTGCTGATGAGCGAGTTGAGCAGCTCGGAGTACGACGCCTCCAGCAGCTGGTAGTCTTCAATCAGCAGCACCGTGTCCACGCCCTCCACGCCCGCGCGCTGCATGGCCTGCTTCAGGTCCGCCTTGAAGCTCTTCAGCGAGTAGTTGCGGCCCACGTTTGGCGACACCGTCTCCATGGTCATCATGAACGTGACGAGCTTGAGGGCGGAGCGGCGGCCGCAGCCAGCGCGTCCGGCCATCAGCAGCGAGCCTCCGGGTGCAGACACCGCCATCTCAACAGCAGCAATGCGCCGCATCATCTGTTGTCAGGGCAACATGTGCGCGTGTGCATGTGCGTGTGCATGTGTGTGTGTGGGTGATGTGCGTGTGCATGTGTGTGCGCATGTGCATGTGCATGTGCGTGTGTGCGCATGTGCATGTGCATGTGCGTGTGTGCGTGTGTGTGCGTGTGTGAGAGAACGAGAGAGAAAGAGAGAGCTGGTCATGAACATGTACGCAGAACAATGGCAGTGCAGTTACAACCAAGAACACAACACACGCGAAGCAGCAATGCAGTTGTCCACACCATCAATCACACCATCAACCACACAAAACCACACAAAACCACACAAGGCATTGCAAACGCTCCAGCACCGCAACGACAAATGCAAACATGTAGCCGCACCTCCGGGAAGAGCTTGAGGGTGAGCGGGGCGTGCTCGCGGTTGTGCCGCGTAATGCCGGTCTTGAGCATATCTGCATAGTCGTCAAGCGAGACGAGCGAGAGCGGCTTGCCCTGCCCGGCCGTCTGCACCTCAGCCGGGATGAACGTGGTGAACACGCTGTTGTTGAGCTTCTCCAAATCATGTCCCCAGTCGCGCTGGAGCAGCGCAGAGAGGAAGCTGTCGAAGCGGGCCTGGTGGTCTGCAATGAGCGTGTTGCGGAAGAGCAGCTGGGCAGAGTACGCCCAAGCATCAAGGAGGTTCACGGCAGAGAGGTCATAGCGCAGCAGCGACAACGCCCACTCCGTCAGGAACACGGGCGTGAAGATGTAATGCCCCTGCGTGTCGCGCGTGAACTCGCGCTTGGCAAACTCGTACACGGCAACCATGGACGCTGCGAGGCGAGACACGTTCTGCGGCGTGGTCCACTGCCCCATGCCCTGGTACTTGAAATGCAGCACGGGCCCCAGCATGCTGGTGTACACCTCCTGCATCTGCGCGCCCTCGCTGTAGTCCATGTACAGGATCTTCACCGTGGAGGTGAAGCGCGTCGACAGCGGGTGCCTGCCCATGGTGCTGGACGGGTTCATGGACGCAACAATCTGCACGTTCTCAATGCCCACCCAGTCCAAGTTGGCATCGTAAAACCCGCGGTACGCAATCAGCTGCTGCAGAAACTGCACAATGAAGGACGTGCCCCACTTGTCCGGCTTGGGCAGGTTGATGTCCTTGATGTACAGGATGAGCGACTCCCCTTCCTTGGGGCGGAACACGCGGCCCACGTTTGTCGTCAGCACCATGCACGCCTGCGACAGGGTCTGCACCACATCCTGCGGCGTCGTCTGCGCATTGCAGTGCATGATGGCCACAGACGCGCGCTGCTGCTGCGCAAAGAGCTGGAACAGCAGGTTGGACTTGCCAACGCCCTCGGGCCCGACGAGAATAAAGTCCAGGCGCTGCTCCATCCAGGGGCGGAGCGTGTCCAGTGTGCGCTGCACGTCTGTCGTCATGATGAGTGGTGATGACACCACGTCCTCGACCGTCAGCTCGACGTCCGCCTGCGACGTGTAGTTGGCAACGCTCCCGCTCTCGTCCACATACGCGTCCAGCGGGCGGCGCGGGTCTGGCAGCGGCTCGCGAATCCACCCAAACATCTCCTTGGCCAGCTGCGAGCGCGCAGGCAGGGAGAGCGGGCCGCCGAGACCACGAACGAGCCGCACGGCAAGCTCAACCACGCTGTCAGCGCCAGACAGCTGCGACAGGGCGTTGAAGACAATGCCAACGCGGCCCTGCTCTGCATGCGACTCGGTTGCCGCCAGCTCCTGCGCTTTCGCCAGCGCGCGGTAGAAATGGTCGTCCAGGAAGTCGCTCACAAGGAGACGGTGTGATGCGTCGGCAAAAGGCACAACGCGCACGTGGCTCTTGTTGGCACGGGCCGCGGCGGCAGACCGCTTACTGCTGTTGCTGTTGCCGCTCTTGTCTTGTTTCTTGTTGCTGCTGTCACGCCTGTTCTCCTGGTCGTTGTCGTTGAGGCCATCCTCGCCCTCTTGGCTGTCTGCGCCAGGGGCAGCGGTGTCGGCGGGAGTGCGTTGCTGCAGCCACGCCTGCACCAGGGACCGCACGTCCGTGTCCTCGTCCGAGAGGAAGATCATGCCCATGCGACTGATGGTGGCTGGCGACGCACAGGACAGGTCGTGCGTCTCAAACACAAAGTTGACGTTTGGCCCAAACTGGATGCGCTCGCCCGAGGGCATGGTGAGCAAGCGGTTGTCATCCAGGACGGAGTTGAGCGACTCAATCCACTCCGGATCAATGTCGCCATCGCACACAATCCACGAGTGCTGGTCAAGTGGCTCCTTCACCACCTGCCGTGCCGCCGCCGTCAGCACACCGTCGTACCAGTCGCGCGTGTCCGGGTCAATGTGGCCAAGCAGCTGCTGCCGAGGCATGGCCTTGGGGTTCATCACATACGTCTTGATGCGGTTGGCGGCAAGCTTGCTCATGGCGTGGTGCAACACGCGCCAGACCATCGTCTTTCCGGAACCAGAGGGCCCAACAATGACAACACCCATGCGCTGGCGCAGCTGCTCGTGCAGCTCCAGCATCTTCTTTGTCTGTGTTTCTGTGGGCACGAGGCCCAGCTCCTCGTACGCCTCGGCAATCGCCTGTGACAGCTCGTGATACTCAATCTCCGCCAGGCTCACGTCGGTAAACACGTTGGAGATGAGGCCGTCAAAGCGCTTGGCATCCGCAAAGGACAGCTTGCTCAGCGTGTTCACCCGCAGCGCCTGCACCAGCAAGAACGCCTCGACCCTGCTGTCCACAGCATCACCACCACTGCCATCACCATCATCACCGTTGGCCTGTGCGTTCTTGCGGCGCTTGGCAAGCAGGTGGCCAGCACCACGCAGGATGGTCTTGAGGGCGCGCAGCCCCCAGTCGTAGTGCTGCTGCGGGGAGAGAAGCTCCTTGGCCATGCTGTAGATGGCGACGAGCTTGCGGCCCAGGTCCTTGGCGGCACGGAAGCCCTCTGCAAACAGCATCACCTCTGCAATCAGCTCCAGGTCCGGGCGGGACATGGCCACGGGCCTGAACAGCTGCTTGAGGTTGTCTGGCAGCTTCTGGCGACCGCCGTACCCTTTGCCGGCCGGGTTGAGCGTGATGAAGATGCCCGAGTTGGGGTTGATGTCGACGGTGCGGCCCAGCAGCTCCGCCTGCGGCTGGCCGGACTTGAGGGCGGCCTGGATGACCTGAATCTGCATGGACACGGCGGAGAGCACGGCCTCCTCCAGGCGGTTGAACTCGTCAAAGCAGCCCCACGCGCCGCACTTGACCAGGCCAATGAAGATGCGGCCCATCGACTTGACGTCAATGCCTTCGTCGCAGTTGAACACCAGCACCTGTCTGCCCATGGCGTTGCCCAGCGCCTTGACAGACTCCGTCTTGCCCGTGCCGGCGGGGCCGTAAGGGTTGCCGCCAAACCCCATGTGCATGCCCTGCGTGAGGGTGAGGTAGCACTTGTCCGTGAGCGGCGTGTGCACCAGCTTGGGGGCGTTGCCCTGGTACTCGTACGTGTAGTCGAAGAGGGCGTCGCACATGCGCACGGTGGCGTGCCGGTCCGTCTGTCCCAGCTCTTCCATCCGGCCGTCCTCCAGACTGTAGCGCAGGTTCTTCTGCCAGTACCAGTTGTCCAGCGTGGTCACGCGGTTCTGGACCAGCAGGTCCACAATCTCAATCATGTGGATGACGTCCAGGATGAGCGCCTTGAGCTTCAGCTGCAGCACGCGCCCTTCCACCGTGGACGTGTCCACGTCGGCGCTCGTGTACGACTCGAGCTTGCTGGCCAGCGCGCGGCGGGCGGCCGGCAGCGTGTTGCTGACAATGGCGTCCTCTGCCAGCTGCGTGAAGTTGATCTGCTCAGCGACACACAGCACCTGCGACGAGTACAGCATGGGGTCTGGCTGCTCGTCCGCGACGCAGCGGGACAGGCTCATGCCCAGGGCCTCCTTCATGGCATCTGCCAGCGCGCTCAGCCACGACTCCACGTTCACGCTGATGCTGACCGGCGTCTGCAGCTTGACCACCTCCCCGTCCTGGCTGATCATCGTCACCACCTGGTCCTTCTTCTCGCTGAAGCCCACCTTGTGGATGCCCGCAAACAGCTTCTTCAGGTGCGTCTGGATAACGGTTGGGTCCGTGGCCTGCCCCAAAATCTCCAGCATGTCGTCGTCGCCGATAAAGTAAAACCGCGGGAACGCAGAGCGCTTCTGCTCCAGGAACTCGTTGAGCGACTTCTGGCAGCGCGTGAGCTGGTCGCTCATCGTTTCCAGCTTGGCAGGGAACCCTTTGATGCCGACCACGCGCATCACGCGGTCGTCCCGCTTCACGTCCAGCATAATCTGCTTGAAGTCGCTGTCCACGCTGCGGAAGCGGCCCTGCTCCTTTGGCAGCGCGCCCCGCCCGAAGATGGGCTCCAGGTAGATCCACTTGCGCTGAATGGTCTTCAGGCGGTCCAGCACCTCCGTCAGCTCAGCCAGCTTCTGCTCCCACAAGCCCGCCTTGTCTGCAAACGCGGGGTAGTAGGGCGAGTCCTTGAGGGAGGAGAGGAGCGACTGGTTGTCGCCGAGCTTGCTCAGGAGCTCCTTCCACTCCTTGATGAGCGGAATCTCCTGCCCGTTGCAGTCCTCAAAGGACGAGAGCGTGAACGTTGCCGACGCGCCCCACAGGTCCACCTCGTGCAGGGCCTCCCTGATGGTCACCTCACCCTGTGCGCGCGAGTGCAGGTCCTTAAGCGCGGGCACGTTGTTGGCCATGTGCTGCGCAGCGCCGAGGATGTCGCGGAAGAGCAGCGACTCCACGGGCGTGGACGTGGGCAGCTGCAGGATGCCAAAGAGCTCCACCCAGTGGTCGGTGGAGAAGGCGTCCCCACGCACGTACTTGAGCAGCGGAAGCACGTTCCGGTACAGCTCGAGGTCCTGCGAGATGCGCACGCTGACGCTGCTGGCACGGGACTGCTTCACCTGCGCCGTCCACTTGTCCAGAAAGTCGGCAAAGCGGTGCGTCTTGCCGCGGAAGGTGATCCACTCCTCCTCCGCAAAGGTGTCCAGCTCAGACGTAAACTGCTCAAACACCACCCACGTGCTCTCCAGGGCCTCGATGTTGGCCTTGACCTCCTCCAGCACGGCGAGGCCGGCCACCTCCACGCCAAAGTGGTCGCTCTCCTGACGAATCTCCGTCGCCCGTTCTTCAAGCTCCTCCAGCTCCTTCCTCTTCTCCTTGATTGTCTGCACGGCCTTGAGGGCGGCGTCGCGGTCGCCAATGTCGGCATCCTTCGGCCGCAGGGCCTCCCACTTTGCGCAGAACTTGTCCACCGTGTTATTGAAGTCCTCCGCGCGCGTGTTGACGCTGGAGCGCATCACGTCCACCTGCTCCTTGATCATGAGCGCGTGAGACTCCAGCATGAGCTCAAACTTGTCCCACCGCTGCTGCAGCGCCTGCATGTCGATGCCACTGCCAGCCACGCTTCGCAGCAGCTTGTTCTTCGCGTGCGCCGTGTCAAACGCGGGCTTGAGGTATGGCCGCTGCGCAGACAGGTCGGCGTGCTTCTGGTTGGCTTCGCCAATCTCCGCAAGCGACTGCGGGCGCATGCTCAGCGCAGCCATGCCCTGCTCCACAAAGTCATCAATCTTGTTCACGTGCGACATGATGGACTTGCGAAGCGAGTTGACCAGTGCGTCAAACAGCCGCTGAATGTGGTCATCAATCGCAGACTTGACTGGCGTCGTCGCAACCGTGATGCAGTCCACCTGGCAACGGCAATTGGCAAAGTGGGGGGCGGATAGACAGAGTAGGTGTGTGCGTGTGTGTGTGTGTGTGTGTGTGTGTGTGTGTGTGTGCGTGCGTGTGTGTGTGTGTGTGTGTGTGTGTGTGTGTGTGTGTGTGTGTGTGTGTGTGTGTGTGTGTGTGTGTGTGTGCGTGTGTGTGCGTGTGTGTGTGTGTGCGTGCGTGCGTGTGTGGGTGTGTGTGTGTGTGTGTATGGGTGTGTGTGTGTGTGTGTGTGTGTGTGTGTGTGTGCGTGCGTGCGTGCGTGCGTGTGTGTGTGTGTGTGTGTATGGGTGAGTGTGTGTGGGTGGGTGGGCGTCGGAGAGATGTACATTTGAATGAGGGAAAGATAATAATGAGCAAGCAAACAAACGCGAGAGAAATTGGCCATGGCCATCCTACCATGAAACACACTTTCACACACGCACACGCATGCGAATGCACAAATGCACACACGCCTACACATTCCAGCCAACTGACCTTGACTTGGTTTGGCAGTTTCTCTGCCTCGCGACCTTTTGTCTTGAGCATGCGGAAGTTGGCCTCCCAATCCTCCACGTTCTCCAGGTGCTCTGCAGCGAGCGCCTCAATGTCCACGCAGCCAATCACCACCCAGTCCTTGAACTCGTGCACCACCTTTGCCAGGCGATGGAACAGCTGCTCCGCCTTCTTGTAGACGGCTGCAAACCCCTGCGCGTTGCGGTGAAGGATGTGCTTGTACACGTCCCCGCCACCGCCGCCAACGCCGCCAATCTTGGACGGGATGACCAGGAACCGCTTGAGCTCGCGGTAGTACTTGGCGCGCACCTCCTCCAGTGGCGGGCGGAACTGGAGCGCCTGCTGCCGAAACACGAGATCAACTTTGAGCTCCGGCAGCCGCTCGTGCAAGCGCTCGAGGCCAAAGCGGTACTTCACGTCAAGCGCCTTGTAGAGCTGGTAGTCCCAGTGCAGCTGCCAGGGGCGCATGGCATCGGAGGAGAAGCCCTGGGCGGTGAGCTGCGCACACACGGTGCGGAAGTAGCCAAACCCTTCCTTCCACTTGCTCTGCTGCTTGAGGAGGTCCAGTCCCATCAGCTCCAGCGTCTTCTCCTTGAAGAGCTCGTGGTAGCGCCGCAGCTTCCTGTTCTCCCGCGTCAGCAGGCCCGCAGCCGTCTGCAGCTCCGTGATAAACGCATCAAGCTCCTCCGTGTTCTGCCACTCCACGCTGCCACTGCCGCTGCCGCCGCTGCTGCTGCCGTGGCTCTTGACGGGCCGCTTGATGACGGCCTCCAGGTTGCGCGCGTGCCGCTCCAGCATGAGGTACTGCGGCTCGAGAATCTGCTGCCCAATGCTGTTGTAGAAGTGGGCAACCTGCTTCAGAATGACGGCGTGCTTGTAAAACGCCTTGGCCGTGGTGACCGACTTGAGAATGTCGGCCGGCACCACCAGGCCCAGTGCGCGCAGCTGCCGCACCTCCCTGAGCAGCGCCATGAGGCGGTCGCTGTAGTGCACCGTCAGGTGGCCGTCCCGGCTGTCAAACTGCATGATGCGACCCGTGCTCTCCATCATAATGTCCTCGTTGCTCAGCTCCGCCTGCGTGTCGCGCACCCAGTCCTGGAAGAGCTCCTTCTCGTGCGCCTTGATCTCCTGCATCAGCTCCAGCGCCGCGTCAACCAGGTCGCTGCTGCCCTCCACGTCCACAAGCAGCGGGTCGCACGCCGATACGACTGACTTCAGTCGCCCCCACAGCTGCCGGCAGAAGAGGATGGAGCGCACAACCAAGGGTGTGTTAACCGAGGGCACGGCCCGGCCCATGGCCTTGCCGCCGTCCTCGTTGGTGATTGCCGTCTGGAACGCCGCGCGCACGCGCTCCAGCTCCTGTTTTAGCTGACTCAGCAGAATCTCGCGCTCCGACTGCAGGCCGTGTGCAACGGCGGGGCGGGAGACGAGCTCGCGGTACTTGGTGAAGTGCATCTGCAGCGACTGGGACGAAGACTGCAGCTCTTTGAACTGCGCGCGCAGCTTGGTGGCCACCACGGCCTCCACGGGCTCAAGGGACTTGTGGTAGCTGGCGACGGCGGCGTCCCACGTGTGCTGCGTGAAGTCGCTCACGTGCAGGGCGTTGATCGGCGAAAACACGTCAAACATGCGATCCGTGTCGTAGGTGAGCTGCTCGTCCTTGGACAGGAGCGACAGCATCTGGTCGTGCGTGGTGCGGATGGAGAGGATGTGCTCCAGGCGCGTGCCCAGCGCCGAGAGCTCCTTGGTGGTCATCTTGCCCGAGGTCCACAGGTGGGGCTGGTAGCTGCGCCAGAACTGGCCCGTCAGCTCGTCAACGGCATTCTGCCACCGCGTGCACACCGCCATGCCAGCCTGCAGCACATCCCGCACCTGAACGCGGTTTGGTTGGTTTTGTTGGTTTGGTTGGTTTGGTTGGTTTGGTTGGTTTGGTTGGTTTGGTTGGTTTGGTTGGTTTGGTTGGTTTGGTTGGTTTGGTTGGTTTGGTGTCGAAGGGAGAGGGGAAGTGAAAATGTTCGTACGAGTGAGCGGACACAGGAAGACGAGCGAGTGTTGAAGGTCGACAGTGGGGCAGTGGGGCAGCGGGTGAGTGTTGGTTCCAAGACATCTAGACAGACACACACACACAACCCAAATTTGCAGTGCCAACGGCTCACATGCATGTGTGATCACACATGAGCAAATGCGTACATGTGCCCCTCCTCCTTCCCACCCCTGCCACACCTCCCCCGCTTTCAACCCACGCCTATTGCCCTACCTTGTGGTACTCGTCCTGCCAGAGGTCGACCTGTGCCAGGCGCTTTTCCAGGGCGCTGGCCAGGTGCACGCCCGCAATGTCGATGAGCCGACGCATTCTGTCCTCGGGGAACGGCGGGTCGTGCTGCGTCTGGCGCCACAAGTCATCCAACACGTCCTGTGTGCGCTCGGCAACCTCCTGTAGGTCGTAGATGGAGGTGGAGGCAAGCGTCTGCATATCGTCCTTTGTGTCCCGCAGCACGTCTTGAAAGTACTGGGCACGCTCCCTGGTGGAGGTGGCGAAAGGTGGGTAGGGAAGGGGGTGGCGATGGCGAGCGGGGATGGCGAGGCAACGAGTGGCAAAGATGAGGGAGAGGAAGAGGGAAATGAATGAGGTGTAGGGTGGCATGGAAAGTGTTCTGTCTCGATCGACAACAATGGTTGCGTGGCCGCGTGTGCATGTGCTCGTGTGCAGTTTCGTGCACACATGTGCATGCTGTTTCACAAGACAGGTCTGCATGGATAAATACGCAGCACACGCAAGCAACACACACAACACACACAACACAAGCAACACGGCAGCAGGAATGCAATCACACCTGCCGCTGAGGTTTGAGGCTGAAGCTGAGACGTCACCCCAATATGCATACTCGTCCGCAAACGACGAAATTGTCTCCCCGGCGGACCCTGGCAGGAGAAACAGGTGCCGTGCAGTGGTGAGAGCGTGTTTGAAAGGTGAGGCAGGCGTGGCGTGTGCCTGTGTAATCGTGTGTGTGTGTGTGTGTGTGTGTGTGTGTGTGTGTATGTGTGTGTGTGTGTGTGTGTATGTCTGTCTGTCTGTCTGTCTGTCTGTTTCTGATGTGGGACACTGTCGATGTCACTCATAGAGGCTTGTTGTGGCATAATGTGAGACGCACACAAGCAACGGCATACACGCACAGGCAGCAATAATGCCAGCACCGCTGCTGCCGTCGCAGCTCACCTTGCATGCGAAGTCGCTTCTCGAGTGAGTCGTCGAGTTCAGACATGAGCGTCTGCAGCCGGCGGTCAAGCTTTCCGCTCCACGCAGACGATGACCTGAACACATGCACACAAAAGATGCACAGTTACACAAATACACAGATGTACACATGCAAAGAAGCACACATACACAAACAAATACACGAACAAATACACAACCACAAACAACACAAACCCAAACACACAACCACAACCACATGTGCATATGTCGCGTGTCAACGATCAGTGTTGTTGGTTTTGGTTTTGTGTGTTGTGAGCATGAATATGCGTGGCAGACAATCCTGCACGCGAGCGTGTTCCCACACGCATGGGTGCACTATACGTGCATGAGACGGCACTGACTTGAGCAAGAGCGGTGAGAAGACGTTGTGTAAGCTTTGGTAAAGGGCAGACAGCGGCGAGTTGCTCATCGTCACCACTTGCACAATGGTATGAAGGTTTTCCTGTGGTGTGTGTGTGTGTGTGTGTGTGTGTGTGTGTGTGTGTGTGTGTGTGTGTGTGTGTGTGTGTGTGTGTGAGCACGTGAGCATACGCGAAAGCAAGAGAGCCTGCACAAGCCCCGGGCACCCGCAACGCGCCAAGTTCGGCCACTGGCAAGAGGATGAGAACACACATGCACGCAAGTTTGAGGCGCAGCGGCAGGCGAGCTGCAGTCTACCATGTTGATGGGCTGAGGGCTGGTCTTGTAAAAGATCATGGCGTTGAGGCGCTCCTCGTCCTGCGGTACCTCTGTCATCGCCAATATCTGGTCCTGTCAACCCCACGCGGGCACACAATTATGTGTGTGTGTGTTGTGAGAGTATGTGCATTCGTGTGGGAGTGTGTATGGTTGTGTATGTGTGTGCATGTACGTGCGTCCTACTGGGTGTCCTGATGTGTGCGATGTTGGTTGTGCTGCTTATCGGTCAGAAACGCCATGCCACAGATGCAATACAACACCGTGCTCATGTAGTTCCACACACAAACACACACACACACACCTTTGCACGGTTGTGCAGGACAATGAGAAAGAGGACATCGGCGTCATCAAAGAACCGCTCCAAAGCACCGCCCTCCAGCATGTAGTTCAGGGCCTATAACAAGAGAGAGGGAGAGCGCGAGCACAACACGCATCGGCGCCGTGAGCCACACCTTCAGATCGTTGGTATATCAAGCAAGCAGGGCAAAGCGAGCAGGGCAAAGCGAGCAGGGCAAAGCGAGCACTTGACGGTGCACACTGTGTCACACAGATAATACACGTACTGGATCATTGGGACCGGAGAGGGAAAAATGGGCCACGGTGAGGCCGGCGATAAAGTCAAGCCTGGCATCCGCGCCCGTGGACGCCATTGTCGTGCGTGTTTGCGAACGTGCACAAGTGATTGTCCGCGATCAACGTGTCTGTGTGTGTGTGTGTCTATATGTATGTATCTATGTGCCTGTGTATGGGGTTGTGAATTGCTTGATGGCTCTGTCAAAATAGATTGGCCACCCGTCGATTGGCTGGACCTGGCGTGGTGCATGCACACGTGTGCGTGAGCATGTGATGCGACGGTGAGTGTGTGATGCGACGGAGTATGATATCAATCACAGGATTGCCGTCGAAAAACGAAAACCACAAGCGTGACATGGGTGCAATTGGGTTGCGCGTTGACAGACGACTCGCATCAACACGCACGTGTAGGTCATGTCCACAACAACACCCATCTACACGTCTACACACATCTACAACCAACAACACACATGCACACCAACACCAACACCACCTGCCCCCCCCCCCATCTCTCACTCACCGCCACTGTTTCTTCGTTGTGTGTGTGTTTGCAGTTCGCTGGCAACGGTTTTGCCTATTTCTAAGCCAGGCGTCTATTCAAAGGCGGTGACAGCATGCTGAAGGGCAGGAGGAAGCGCCGTGCTGGCGAACGTGATGGTGGTGGCGGTGGTGGTGGTGGAGGGAGGGGACAGCAGCAGCTTGGCGCTGGCGCGCGGCTGATGCTGGCACGCGCAGAGGAAGAAGAGCGTGAGCGAAGACGGGGCAGGAGAAGAGGCCGGATGGTCGACGACGAAGAGGAGGATGATGAGGAGGACGAGGAGGAGGCGGAAGCGGCCATGCAAGCTGGGATGGTTGGACGTGGTCGTGGCCGTGGCCGAGATGCGAGGGGCCGAGGAAAGGCCTGGCGACACTGGGACAGTAGGCTGCAGCAAGGAGGGTGGCAGGCGCTGGACGAGGCCCGAGAACAAGAGGAGGCGTTAAAGAAGAAGCAAATGGATGAAGCAGCCGATGCAGAAGAGGCAGCGGATGAGGACGACGAGGACGACGAGGAAGAAGAGGAGCCATTCATGCTGGTGGTTGGTTATGGCTGTCACATCTTCAGGGACACCGACTTGTACCAAGCAACAGAGTCAGGCAAGCTCTTGCAACCCTGGCACAACGACCCATCCTTGCTGGTGGACAGGTACGTGCATGTGTATGTGTATCTGTGTCTGTCTGTGTGCGTGTCTGTCTCTGTCTCTGTTTTGAGGCTACGATTCGCTGTGTGAGTATGCAAACGTGCGCTCTCAAAGTGCGTGTGTGTGTGGGTGGGTGTACATGTGTGTGTGTGTGTGTGTGCGTGTGTGTGTGTGTGTGTGTGTGTGTGTGTGTGTCCACTTTGTTGAAGCGTCTGCTTCTTCCACCTGTACCTGTGCGTTGACTTGATGCTCGCATCAATTCCATACATGCCCATCTTCGCTCATACCCCTGCTCCTGCTCATACTGGTTCTGTTTTGGCAACGCTCACACTCAACTGTGTTGCGATGTCTATTCACCAACCTGCTCCTCCGTCACAGGTTTGATGGACGGTTGCTGCTGGACGACCAGCGACTCTTCAAGAAGAAGAAAAGGTGGGCACGCCACACACGTAACACGTGCAACGCACACACACACACACACACGTTGACACGTAATACGTGGCTGTCGTTGTTCAGCATGTGCTGCTGCTGCTGCTGCTGCTGCTGCTGCTGCTGCTGGCTGAAAGGGACCGCCAGACAGCACCAATACAGAACGTATCCGGCCACACCATCACGTGACACAGCCCGTAGCACCACCAGCAACAACACCTGCACCCGTGATGGTGATCATGTGTGACCTGCTGAATGCACTGGCACGCGTGTGTGGCCCGCCAATCGGCATCCTCACTGCTCCAATGCTTTCCCCACATCAGTCCCCAACCAGCCTGCACGCACTCGTGCATGCATGTATCTGCCAGCACTGTACATGCTGACCTGAGTTCCCTTTCACAGCGGCTGTGTGAGGGATTGCCGGTGTGATGGATGGATGTGTGCACGCGTGTGCGAGCTCTAGTTTATTGTCTCACATCCTCACACCGTGGTTGGTTCCTCTACAAAGCGCCCCTGGGCTGTGCATGTGCTTTTTTTTCACGATGCATGCTGCTCAGACCAACCACATGCACATAATCCCATGTGCGCGTGAATGACTACAAGCGCACGTGCGCACATGAATATTGCGTGCCTCGCTACCCTGACTCGCCTCTCAACACCGCGTTTTGTTCCATTCGTTTCCATGTATCTGTCTGTCTGTGCGTATCTGTGCGTGTGTGTGTGTGTGCGGGTGATTGCAGGTTCAGCTACTCGTGGTCAGTTGCAATGCGAGAAGAGGAGAAGATGTGCGACGCCGAGCGTTATCGTGACCTGAGGCAGGGACAGCCCGTGCTGTACGAAGGTGCGACCATTTGTACATGGCCTGCTTCCGAGTGGGCTGGTTATCCAGTGTGTGCACCCCTGCGGGTTTTGTGTGTTTGCATGACTGCACGCTTCGGTCACACACCAATTCCCTTTCCCCCTTCCCTCTCCCATCCCCCCCCCCGCTCTTCCCTCTCTCCTCTTCCCTCTTCTGTCCCGCCTGCAGAGAAAGTGCGTGCTGCGCGTGAGAGCCGTGTGGCGGCGGACCCGTTCGCCAGCGAGCTCGCGTTTGCGTATTCCCGCGGCGACCAGCGGCGCCATCGCAGGCGACAGCACAACATGCAGCGACGAGAGGGGGCAGCCATCCCCTTTGCATACGATGATGACGATGATGCTACTGGTGGTGATGGTGGTGCTGACGGGAAGCAGGGCAGGGCAGGCAGTGGATCAGGGGCGAGCACACAAGGCAGCGGCGGCGATTGGGAGGCGGAACCGGAGCCGTTGCCGTTGCATGCAAGCATGGAGTTGACGAGCGAGCTTCCACTGCCCCACACGTGCAAGCAGCTGCACATTATCGAGAAGACGGCCAAGTTTGTGTCGCGTGGCGGCGTGCAGATGGAGCTGCTCATACGCACACGCGAGCAGAACAACGCGTGGATGCGATTCCTGGACGCAGACGACCGCCTGCACCCGCTGTATCGGCACTTTGTTGCGCTGTGCAAGCGCAAGGAGTACACCCCGAGCTGTGACAGGTCGACGGGGGACGCCGAAGCGAAGAGTGAGGAGGGAGGGCATACAGGCGCCCAGAGAGGTGGGGACAAGGGCGCTGTCGATGGTGGCAGTGGCCCCGACACCGAGGACAGTGGTGGTGGTGATGATGATGATGATGATGATGATGGTGGTGATGATGACGATAATGACATCGGAATGGGTGGCAACAGAGACAAGCAGCAGCAGCAGCTGGGGCAGCGCGGGACAGCTGCAGTGTTGGCCAAAACTTCACCGCCAACAACAACACCAACAACAACATCAAAAACACCAACGCCATCATCGCCATCATCAACAGCAGCACCAGCCACACCAGAAGCAGCTGTGGCGGCCATGCTGCTTCGTGTACTTCCACGATTGGTGACAGTTGGGCTGCGACGCGGTGGTGGCGGTGGGCTGGAGCCGGGCCAAACTGACGACAGCGACACGAACGACAAGCACCGTCGTGGCAGTGATCATGGCAATGGCACTGATGGTATTGGCGCTGATGGCGCTGATGGCGCTGGTGAGGGTGACGGTGCAGACACTGCGGAGGAGTTGAGTGTGACACGTGTACAGTCGTCAACCAAGGCTGGGGGCGCAGCCAAGCGACGCAGCCCTGATCAGCAGCAGAAGCAGAGTAGTGGTGGTGGTGGTCGTGGTCTTGGTCTTGTGTCATATGACGACAGCAGCAGCAGTAGTGATGACGACGATGACGACGACGTGGGATTGCTGGGCGCTGGCACCAAACGCGCCAAGACAACACAGCGAGGTGCTGCGCCGTTGCCATCGTCATTAACAGCCACAGCAACGACACCAACACCAACGACTGCGGGACCTGGCATGGCGTCCACACGTGTTGGTCCGCTGGCATACGGGGTACCATCTGGGGTGCGGCCCCCTGCCCCTGCACCGCCACCGTCCATGTACACGGCTGCCCATCAACACGTGCACGCCGCTCCTGCCTACCCGACCCACCTACAGCAGCAGCCACAGCAGCCACAGCATCTTGCGTATGCAGCAGCACCGCTACCGCCACCGCAACTGCAGCAGGGCTGGCCCGCTGGTGTGCCCGCACATGCACATGCGCATACACATGCACAGCATCCCATGTACACACAGGGCCAGAGCTATCCTGGAGCACCTATGACCACAGTCCCAATAGCCACACCCACACCCACGAACACTGCCGCTGCACAAGGCGTCGGCAATGGCGGGGGTGATGGTGACGATGATGATGATGAAGAAGGCATGGTCGTGCCCCCACCAGACACCAAGGCGATTGTGGACAAGCTTGCATTCTACGTGGCAAAGAACGGCGAGGTGTGCTGCGTGTGTGTCTGTGTGTTTGTGTTGCTTGTGTGTGTGTGTGTGTGTCTGTGTCTGCGCATAAACATGTGTCTGTGTTGTTTGTGTTGTGTCTGTCTGTGTGTGCCTGCTTTACTGGTGTTGAGTCATTGAGGCACGAACAACCTTGCTTACCTGCTCACTCCACATGCTGCCCATGCACTGCTTACCTGTTTTGCTGCTGCTGCAGGCATTTGAGCGAACGATTGTGGAAAAGCACCGCGGTGACGCGCGGTTTGGGTTTCTGCAGCCGCACCACCTGTACCACGCCTACTACCGCGCTGTTGTGCAGGACCACACGGCCGCGCTTGCGCAGCAGCAGACGACCACCAACGCTAGTGGTGGTGGTGATGGCGGCGGTGGCAAGCAAGACACCGCATCAGTTGTGGGTGCAACCGAGAGCACAAAAGGGGCAGGAGGAGATGTGCTGCTGGGGCGGACGAGCGAGCAGGCGTCGTCGTTTCAGCAGCAGGAGAAGCGGCTGGCGCGGGCAACGCTCGGCAGCGCACCCGCAATGGCAAAACCAGCAGCAAAACCAACAGCAACAGCAACAGCAACAGCAAAAGGCGAAGAGAGCAGTCGTGGTGTTCGGGGTGATGAGGAAAAGGGTGTGGGGGCGAGTGGGCAGCGAAGAAGACGCAGGAAGCGCCGGTTTGACGTTGGCGGTCGTAGTGATGCAGTGGGCGGTGAACACACAACCACAGCAACCACAACAGCAACAACACAACAACAGCAGCAGCAGCAGCAGCAGCAGCAGCAGCAGCAGCAGCAGAGCGAAGCGGCAGAGGTTGGTATGACAGCAGAGGAGTGGAAGAAGCTGGAGCGGCGACGAAAGGCGAAGGAGTTTGCTGTGAACGCCCGTCTGTCCACGTTTCCCTCCTCCAACAAGAGAGGATGATGATGCTGATGCACGAAGTGACATGACTGTCGCTGTTGATGGTTGTTTGTTGTGGTTGCGGTGGCGTGGTGGCAACGATGTGCATGTGTGTATGTGTGTGTGTGTGTGTGCTAGCGCTGTTGTTGGATCGTATTGGTGACAATGTGACATGACTGCTACTACTTGAAACACCAAAACGCAACGAACCCCAACCAAGCAAACCCAAGTGCAGGAGCAAGCAAAAGCGAGTGAAGAGGGGTGTTTGTGCGCAACAAAAAACAAACCCAAACAAAGACGCTTCTTGCTTGTGGGTTGGAAGAAGAGGACATCGACAAACCCCACACCACAGACCACCACCAACACCACCGACAATGATGGACGAGCGGGAAGACGTGGAGGATGGCACGGAAGCGGCAGCAATGAATGCGAGCAGCGGCAGCAGCAGCAGCCATAGCCACCACCACGCGCATGTGTTCTCGGAGAGGCACCAGCGTGGAGCAACAGATGACCAGGAAGAAGAAGGACACACATCCGTGGTGTCGACGTCGCCGACAGCCATGGTTCAGGCTGCGCTGCCAGAGGACGTGGACAGCTGGGTGCATGAGTTCATGCGATGGACCAGTGAGCGACAATCACAGGCAGCAGATGCGCTCATCGCTGCTATCCAGCAGCGCGACGGCGAGGGTGGCCTGCGCCTGCTGTACAGGCGAGTCCACTCGTTCTTGCACGTTGACTTCCTTGCCATGCTTCCAGAGGAGCTCGCCATCAACGTCTTGAGGTTCCTCGACACAAGGTGAGCACCTGCACAGCACCACGTTGTCTGCCTGCCTGCTTACTTGCTTGCTTGCTTGCTTGCTCGCTCGCTCGCTTGCTTGTCTGCCCGTCTATCTGTGTCGACCTTGGAGACTGTCGGGACGTAGCTTGTGAGGGTTCACGGCACCTGTTTGCTCTGGCTGTTCTTGTTGCCCTGCTTCTGTATTTGGTAGGTCTGTCTGCACATGCGCCATGGTCTCGAAGCGATGGCGGCGTGTTGTCAACTTGGACCGAGTCTGGAAGCCCCGTGTACTCCAGGACTTCAACCGTGCGTCCATGCGTGCTGGCGTGTGTGTGTGGGGGGGGGGTTGGATCTGCGTGGGTCTGTGTGTGCCTGTAAGTCTCTGAATGTCTTTCTGTGTACGTGAGTACCGTGTGTGTAAACTTGCTCCTACTCCCACACTGCGTGAGTCTCTCTGCTTCCGTGTGCCTGCGCGTGTCCGTGCGCCGTCACTCAATGGCCCTGCTCTAACCCATCCCATTGTCGTGCATGATGCATGCAGCCCACACGCTGGAAGTGCTCATTAACCGAACAAAGCACATCCTCCCTCACCGTTTGACATGGAAGCAGGTGGGCTCAGCTGTCAAAGGGGACGCGAGTGCTGTGTCTGGCTGTTCGTTAGCTGCCACACATCAATCATCCCTGCCCCCATACGTCGCTCACACACACACACACACACACACACACACACACACACACACACACACACGCACATGCGCACGCACACGCACACACATGCGCACGCACACAATTGAAGATGTATGAGTTGCGATATCGCTGCGAAACGCAGTGGCAATCGCCAACAGTTGCTACACAGCCGCGTCACACTTTTCGAGGACACACCGGCGTGGTGCGTTGCTCTGCATGTATGCGTGCATGCATGACATGTGTGGACATGTCTGTGTGAGCACGAACACATGCACAGACGTGAACCCATCTTCCCGCGTACGCTCGCGCTCGCCCTGACATTATCGGCGGATGCTTGCGATGCTGGACGCGTGTACAGGTGACGTGTCTCATCAGCGTTGGTGATGATCGCGTGCTGTCCGGCGACACGAATGGTGCTCTTCACGTCACCTGTCTTCGCACTCAACGGGTTCGTTGGCCCTCTTGTCTGTGTGCGTGTGGGGGGGGGGGGCAGGGGGTGGTTGCCTGTGTCGGTGTGTCTGTGCGTCTGTGCGTCTGTGTCTGTGTATCTGTGTCGTCGTGTCGGTGCACCCACGTGCATGTGTGCGTGTACATGCGTGCGTTGCTCAACCTTTACGCCTTTCGGGCTCACTTTGCCCCCCTCACACACACAATACAACGCACACACACACACACACATACAACGTGCACGCCTGTGTGATATTTTGTATGAAAGCTTGTGGGCCAGCTGCAGGGCCATTCCCAGGGCGTCTGGTGCCTCGATGTGGACGGAACAACGGCCGTCAGCGGGTCGTGCGACCGCACAGTCAGGGTGCGTGCGTGTGGTGTTGTGGTGATTGAATGTGGTCGGAGTCGGTTGCTTGCGCTCGCATGCGGCGTGAGTGATTGCCCCAACAGTTTACACCCTTGAACACACACACACACACACGTTTGCACACACGCACGCACACACGTGCACTTGCACACACACACATGCACTCACATACTCCCTCGCGGGTCATTGGCTTGCCACGTCGCATGCGTTGAACATGGGCCAGGTGTGGGACCTTGAGCGGTTGCAGTGCCTGCATGTTCTGCGCGGACACACGTCCACCGTCCGTTGTGTCGCCATTACAGACGGCCTCGTCTTCAGTGGCGCCCGCGATGCCGCCGTACGTGTGTGTGTGTGTGTCTGTGTCTGTGTCTGTGTGTGTCTGTGTCTGTGTGTGTGTGTCTGTGTCTGTGTGTGTGTGTGTGTATACCCGTCTACCTGTATACCTGTCTACCTGTCCACCCGTCTGCCTGTCTACCTGTCTGTCTGTCTGTCTGTCTGCCTGTCTACCTGTCTGTCTGTCTGCCTGTCTGTCTGTCTGCCTGTCTTCCTGTCTGTCTGTCTGCCTGTCTACCTGCCTGTCTGTCTGCCTGTCTTCCTGTCTGTCTGTCTGCCTGTCTACCTGTCTGTCTGTCTGCCTGTCTACCTGTCTACCTGTCTGCCTGTCTGTCTGTCTACATCGCCGTCTCTGTCTCCCTATCCTGCCTCTCCATCTCTTGTATCTTGATCTCATCCCCCCTCCGTTCCTCTGCCTGTTTGCTGGGCGTCGTGGTCTTTTTCCACCACATGTCATGCTAATTCGATCATTCCATCATGACTGCAGGTTCGTGTATGGGATGTGGCAACAGGCAACTGCCTGCACACGCTCGTCGAGCACACAGACTCAGTCAGGTAGAAAGCAAGCGGGGAGACGAGTACGTGCATGGTGGTGTGCGTGATTGCGTGACTGTCTGCTCCTGCAAGCATATACGTCCACATGTGCTGCTGTGTTTGTGTGCATGTACATACTTACTTGTGTGTGACCGTACGGCTGGTCGGCCTTCTACCACGCCTACGCTTGTCAAGCCTTCACACACACACACACACACACACACACACACACACACACACACACACACATACACACACACGCACGCACACGCACACACGCACACACGCACACACGAACACACGCACACACACCAAACGCCTTCCTCCTTCCTCTGGGTTCTGGGAATGAATGGATGTGCAGGTGCCTAGCAGTAAACGACCGGTACCTTGTGTCGGGCTCGTACGACTCCCATGCCATTGTCTGGTCACGCGACACCTTCTCCCGCATGCACACGCTCTCCGGACACACATACAGAATATACTCGCTCGAGGTGTTACGCATTGAGCGTTGTGTGTGTGTGTGTGTGTGTGTGTGTGTGTGTGTGTGTCTGATATACATAAATATACTCGGTCTGAGGTGATTAGTCAGTGAACCGTCTGAGCCCCCCCCTCTGCCCCCGGTGGTAAGTGGTATAAAGAATCTACAGAACCCGACATCCCCGGCCCCATACCGCCGGGAGTTATGGGGAGGGGATCGGGGGGGGGATAAGAGAGAATAGTGATATAACCACCAGGCGCACCAAATTTTTTAGTCATATGGTGG